TTAAAGAATTATAGCTAAATCTTTAAAGAAATAATAATAATTTTTTGCAATATTTTTCCTACATTTTAAGAACAAATTCTCTACAGTTTTAATTAACTTTTTAAAAACTATTCACAAAAAAAAAGCACAAGTGGGAGGAAATTATTTTAAAAAATCGATTGAATTAAATTTAATCGGCTCTTATCACTTGTTAAATATTATTAATTAAAAACCCGTAAAAATTTATAAACTTTCAATAAATTTAAACTTAAATATAAAGAAAATTCAGTCATAAACGATGCTTTCCAATACAAAATGGTTACTTGGAAGTAATCATTTTCCAATGAGAAACACCGTCAGCAAAGGGCGCATTGTTTTAAACAAGAATAGTTTTAATAAAAGAGAGTGGATGCTCTTGTTTATTTTAAATTCTGCTTTTAAAGAAAACCAAGAAGAACAATTAGAGTATTGTCCGGCTTCACCTGTAAGAAAAAATTGTTTTTGGCTATTACTCTAATGTCCAAGTTGGGGAACGTAATTAGAATTTTTGATAGACGCAATGACAATTCTGAATGTTTCTTTTATGACAGATCGAGAAATTAAAATTGGATAAGTTTTCCCTTGTATACATTTTAATAATGTGATATTAATCATAATGGGTACTCGAATTAAGAGTAATTTATTCTGATTTTTTAGAAAGGAGGAGACGGAAACTTCCTGAAACTTCGTCTTTTTCACAAAAATTTAATTTTTAATATCATATGAAGGGTGTTCTATTCACTTAAATTGTATAGAATACTAAAATCTCTTAAATTTTCTGTTTTTGTGATGTTCTTACAAGTTTTTGGAGAATTTAGTTATTTTTGAGGCCTTAATAATTAGAACAGTGCTTAAATATTTAACTTAGGCCTAAAATCCTTTAAGATTTTTACTTTTAAAACCTTTTAAGCCTCTAATAAGTTACTGTTTAAATAATTAAAGTACGTAAGGTATGTTAGCAAAACAATTTTTAAGCGCATTAAACTATCGAAAGTACGGAAACAACGCATCCAAAATGTCGACTCTTTCTGAATGTATTGACATATTTATCCTAAAATACATCATAAGATAATGACAAAAAGCACTTCTGTAGAATAAAAGGGATAATATTTCATCAGTCTATGGATCGGTTAAGCATTTTAACATAAAATTGGTCGCTAGAAGAATCGAGAGAGAAGGAAAAAAACATCACGAAGTAGATCAAAAATGGTGTCGGGCATTACAGTCCTGCCGATGACGTAATCAGGTTGTCAAAAGCACCGAGACAGATAGACCCCTTACGAGGTTTCAACACGCTCAAACGACCCAATTTTCCAAGCGAACAGCGCTTCCCCGCCGACCTGCCCTCCACCAGCCCTTCAATAGATCTAGTGATGTGGAAAGCGACGACTAAAGTCCAAAACCTGCTTCAAATCCCAGTTAAGAATATTGAATATTCGTAAGTAAACTAACCAGCGATAGTATTAGACTGTTCTTCATCAAGGTTACTTCATCTACGTTCACTATTTATAGGAACTGTACAGTAAATGACAGCTCGAAACCACTTTCCTACTTTCTTCTACAGAATAAAGGAAGTTAAGGTATTATATCAGTTAACTATATCTTAAGTTCTTACCGAATTTATATTAAGTGGCCTTTAACAGCTTAAAAATTAATTGAAATTTAAATATTTTAAAGAGCTAACGAAGAGATTAATTTTAAAAAATTGAATAATTCTTAAAATTATTACAAATTAAGAATTTATATATATATATTTTTTTTTTCAAGTTCCTATTTAATTTCTACGCCTGTATAATTATATTTACGATAATTATGACAGGTAAAGATGAGATAATCTTAAATTTATCCGCATAAGATAACAAATTTAAGAAAATGTCAAAGAAACATGAATTCAAATCTATTATTTTTGAGATTTTTACAACTTAATTTGTTATTTTAAGTCTAATTAATCAAAAATTATCACTCTTTTCGCTTAAATAATTCAACGTTTAGTTAAAAAATGTCTTCATTCAGAGTAGAAGAAAACTTTTTTAACCATAAAATATAATAAGTATAGAGACGTCTTCGTTCAAATAGATTAATTTTTAAGTAATTTAACTGTTAATTATAAGTGTAAAAGTGTAATTTTACATTCCTTTTCATCTTCACGAATCAGATTAAGCCACACCGAGATACGACGAGCCATCTGGCATGGAAGCAAAGCAGACAATAGGATCAACCTCCCGTCGTGACCATTGTTAAACGCGATCCTGTTGGCACTGCGCTTCTACAACGAATGATGACACGACCTTTTAACCCGGGATAACGAGATGAAAAGGGATCCACTTCACCCTTGCTGGCAGAGGCGTTACCCGTGACGTCAGACAACTCGAACATTCGAGCACCCTAGATAATCCGCGGTTTGCAAGGTTTAATAACTAAAACACGATTGTTTAGTAAATCATATATAATAAATTAATAGAAGAGCGTTGATTAATATCTTCAGAAGTATCAGACAAGTGTGTGTGTGTGTGTGTTACAAAGTTGCAACTAACTGGTGTGACGTCATGTCCACACAGGTGGTGACGGAATAGGACATTTGTACGTTATTAGCTATCGGGGGCAGGGGATGCCTGAAAGAGAAGCAAGCCATCCAGAAAATTGGCCGTGCAGATATCCGGTCATGTCAGCGTGTGAAACGTCTTTTCTCACCTTCTGTGAGTAAACGGCTACTTTTCTCTTGCTATGAGTAATAGTCGCTTCTTGAGGGATTGTCGGGATTTACTTGCGCCTCTTTCACGTGATCCGCTTTAAATGACTCTAGTTTAACTTTCTGACTCCCTCCTTTATACCGTTTTGGTGTCATATAAAGTACAATCTCCCTTCCAAACGTTAAAAGTTATGTTATGAGGATTAACTTCATTCTTTTTTTTTTCTTTTGAAAGTGTAAACGAATATCTTATCTTTCTAGTAATTTGATCGAAAGTAATTTCTCATTTTAAAATTACTCTGTCTATTTCTCTTGTTTTAAAACCTTTCTTTAAAGAATTAAATTTAAAATTAACGCTTTTACCAAGAGTTTATGGATGGCGTCATTATTGACGTTGGAAAAATTAACAGAAAGGTATAAATTAGGACTAATTTAGGCGTTACTTAAAGCGAAAATACTTTTAAAAAGTTTAAGAATAGATAAAAATTATTCAAATTTTTTATCAATTTAATATCTGAATCCATAAATGGACAAAGAAATCCAGAACAGATCCATTCAAAAGTATAGACCCTATGTAAATACTCAATCGAAAACAAGAAAGTTATATAATTTTCTAAATATATAGGCCTATATACTATAAAAATCATTAAAAAAAACACAAGATTTTAATAAAAAATAATCAAATATATAAGAGATTATCCACCAAATAAAAAAAATAAAATAAAATAAAGTTAATATAAAATTCAGTCGGGAACTTATTTACTGAAACAGGATTCGAGATTATTTTAAACTTTATTCTCAAATAGTTCGCTATTTATTCGTTAGTAGGCAGTCACTGTAGCGAATTTCTCTAGCAGTCAACGTGCGCTACACAAACTCTACTTGTTGCTGTGCGATTCCTCGCACGACCCGTATTCCGACAATGTTCCATCGTGGACAAACGTTTATGGCTCCTGGCTGTGTTGACTGCAGCAGCGACTGCCGACACACAGACAACCGCTGCATGTTGATTGAAAATGTCACGTGGTAATAGCGACAAATCGTGTTATGGTCCATCGGTAAAGCGGCGTCGCTACAGCATCCCTCTTTTGGGTCAGGAGGTCGCGCCCTGTCATTTCGAGCGAGCATGACTTTAAGTTTAGTGTTGTATACTTTACGGACCAACTACTTAAGAGTTGGAAAGAATTTCCCAAGTAGGAAACACAAGTTTTTTTGTGTTGTTGTTGTTTCCTTTCTTTTTTTCCTCTTCTTTTTCTATTGATCAGTTTGAACAGAATGGAACTGAAATGGGCAATATCCCAATCTAAACAACAAACATATAAACTGCATTACATCTAAAGTATCAATACACTAAAACTTTACATAATTTTATGTCTAACAGTAAACTTATATTTATAAATTAAGTATAAAGAAATTTTAAAACTTTACTTTTTATCTAATCTGTTAAATTAACTCGAAAGTAATCGTACATCTCTATAAATATAGATTTTACTGAGCTTAAAAGTGATATAAAACTCCGAATTATATTCTGTTTTCTGTAATTATTTTCATTTCGAATACTCAAAACCCTAAATTAATAACGTATCTCCATTTAATAATAAAGCAACTATAATAAAAACAGATGTACATCTTCAAAAAATTCAAAATTTAAATGAATTTTAACCATCGAAACGTCTTTAATCCTGATCGTGTATATACTAACGTTAAAGATAACTTGAAAATAACCGTGTTTACACGATCCCCTTCTTTAAACGGCTTAAATTACAGATAAAACACCGAATTATATTATTTGTTAATGAAAAATTTTCATTTTGAACATTTAAAAGTATTAAAATCAATTCAAAATCCTAAAGTAATAATATACATTAAAAGCAAAGCAGATGTAAGGCAGAAACATGTCAAGACAATTGAAAATCTAAACAATTTTATCCTTCTAAACGTCTTCAACCCTCACTACCAATAGATTAAGTTCGGCATGACTCACTTATTTCAATTTTAATCCCCTATAAATTACTGAATCCTATATAAACTTTCTGTTAACCAAGTAATCAGACAATATTGGAGACTTAGAAAATTACAAAAATCTAGGCCTATATAAAACTAGGTAGATAGAAAATATGCTAAAATATAATCGTATCGTTTTAGGAGTGACAAATAAAGCATCGAGTGATAAATATTTATTTTAGATAATTTTATAAGGTACTAAATTCGTTAGTATATTACTAATCCGTACATATAGTAAAGCGAATGATGCGATGTCTAAACACAATCATCGGACAAGAGATTACAGATCTGGAGACTTCCCAACCATTAACTTCATCTGCAGGTTGTAAAATCTACACCAGTAATAAAAGTCTACTCAACATTCTGTTTCGCCACAGCTTATCTCATTCTATGTTGTACAGTACTTCTCGACCTTAGATACGACGTCATCCGACTAGTTTACGGCTCCATTAGTTGTCCGAACCTTCTGGACACCTTCTTGACCATCTAATGAGAGGGCCAGCAACACTATTGAGCATTACAAAGAACCATTAATCGCGTTTGATATTAGTCAATTCCAATATCCTCTTATAATCCGTGTTTACACTCGGATAACCGAGATGATAAGCGTTATAAATAAGGTTGCAATCGTTAGAGTTTTAATAAGAAGGAAACTTTTCTTCACTTCTTTAATATATTTTATTTTTCAAAATTAATATTGTTGGGAAAGATGAAAAATTTCTTAAATTTCTTAGAATTTTTCTACTAATAATTATATCGGTTACAGAAAAAAGCCTACTTTTATTCAATTCTAACCAGTTAAGATGAGGAGAATCCTTTGCTTTTTTTTTTATTGTTCAACAACAATTTTGGATGTTTTTTTAATTAAATAATTGGGACAAACTGTAACCGTTTAGTAGACTCGAATCTTTGTTTTCTATTCTCGCAAATGAATAAGAAAAACTTACTTTTTTTGTTTTTTTATAATGGAAAAAACGTCATATTCGTCCACATTAACTGAATATGCCGCAGCACACAACAATAGACAACTTTGAATAAACATCGAGAATTATTAATGAACAATCCTTACGAGGAAAGACTGCAACTGTATACATGATATGATAAAAGATAGGCTGCTTACCTCTCTTTTTTATGTTCTCTTGTCTATAGCCTGGTTATTTACAGTATCACAGTAAAACTACAATTGTTTGTTTTTAAATGACATAAGCCGAAGGTGAACGTCCAGTTTATATCGCGCACAGTCTTTTTAAATATATAATTTTTATATATATATTTTTTATCAGTTTATTGCACCAAACACACAAGAAAAAGTCCTTTTAGCTTGGTTTGTATACCAATTCTTTTTGTCCCCTAGTTCAGTAGTGATGAACTCCAACCGAAGCTATCCTGAAAGTATACCCTTCGTTACAATAGTGAATACGTGAAATGATAATATATTCGTATAATTTATTACTTACTTATATTTTATTTTTATTTTTGATGGAATTTCATACGTCAAGAGTCCTTCTTTGTTTCCAATTTGCTTTAATAATGAAGGAAGAATGATGGCCACTTAACACGAGCTACAAATGGATGCGGCGAAGATCTGAAGGTGACGTGATAGCATCGCATTGAGGACATAACCTTTTTGTACCCTAAAAAAATTATTAAACATAATTTAATTTGAAGAAATAAAAAATTCAAAGAATATTATTAAAATTTTACATATTTTTCTAAAGTGCAAAACTTAGAGAAGATGTAAAATATTTTTAGATAAAATTTGCCTATCGTACTGTAGATACCGACACGAATTTCTGCCGCTTGGAGTAACAACAAAATGGATTTTTTTTTCATAAATATCTACAACTGAGCTATCGTTTTCGATTTTTTACTATATGCGAAACGCATTACGGGTTCTGCAGCTAAAAATCTATTCATGGATACCCTCTGCTGCTAACAGCAAGTATGGTGAGGGATGCTTTCCGTTCTCGAATGCAGATGTTGCAACTTTTTCTTCTTATATCCCGAAATTTAACTGCTTACCAATGACTTTAACCAGCATCGTTCGCAATGTACGTGCCAACAACATACGGAAACAACAGGTTTGCGATAGGATTCCTTTAAGAAATAATGCAAAAACACACGTTTTAGTATATAATAATTTGAACTATTAACAAAAGAATTGATAAGTCCTACTTACTAAACATACGACGCATTGGATGTTGGATCCGTTCTTCCGTTTCTCTTCTGTATCGCTACACCTTCCATTCATGGGTGACATTAGATGAGGAGTTTCCAAATTTCTGCAAAATTACAAATTTAGGATTTCCCAGTTAAGCAATAGGCACTAATAAATAAAACTTCCTGCTTACTCTTCATTATTCTTCTCATTAGAAGCATCTCTATTGCTAATGTCAACTTCAGAACTGTAGTTAGTATTAAGGAAAAGCTTAAAACGACTTTAAAAAATATATAAATAAAAAATGAAAAAAGGATACGAGAAATCTTTATTGCTATCCTGCTCTTGATTATCACTCTTTTGTACTGAGGAGGGAATATAAATAATTTATTAGCACCCAGAAGAATTAAAGAAAAAATCAAAAAGTATTTACAAATATCAGATTGAAAATGCTGATAGTAGAGGGTGAAGTTCAGTTAGCGGCCGGGAAGACAAGAAGCAATATCAAGCAGAGTATACGCTTGACGTACAGCGCTTAGGAAACAGAAATAGCTTTTAATTCATCGTCAAACTCGAAACGGTTGTACTTATCCGACCAGACTTACTCTGCAGCGTTTCAGCGACAGAATAACATCCCATAAATTAGAAGGAGGTAGGTAGGTAGCTTGCGGAAAGGAATGTGCCAGCGTTCGGCAGTCCTCCGACTGCTTTTTATTGCTCCTTCCTTGATTTGTATGTTGTCACGTGGTAGCCAGTGTTTTAATATCCCGAACCCAGACAGCTGACAACCTGCAGCAATTTTAAAAGTGCAGCTCTTCCCCAAATGGAAAAGAGAGGGTTGAAAGAGGTTTCTCGTTACTAATGCGTAATAAACTGTTAAGAAAACCTTGTTGGACTGCGTTTTTTTCTTTTTTTTTTACTTTTGTGTTGATATAAAAAGTTGTTGTAATCAGATAATAAAAAAAGGGAAGGTCTACCTTAGATTTTTTTTAATTGAATCAACAATATATGTTAAACAGTAGCGCTGATTCTTTCGCTTTAAATGAGGTTAAAACTGAATTAACCCCCTTTAAAATTTAGGATTATTATTATAAAGTCGGTTCGTAACACGTAATATACTAAACTCACCTGTTAAACCTAGCATCATCACTTCACCTGAACCGTTCGTCTCCGTTCTGATCGCTTCATCTTGACCCTAAAGGCATGCAGAGGAGGAGAAAATGAGAAAGTGGAAGAGAAGGAGAAGCAGAACAAAAAAAAAAGCATTTTAAAATAAACACATTTCGAAAAGACAAACAAAAAGTCTTATTTGTTCATAGCAATGTTATTTTCTACGTTGTGCCAATTATGCATCCCTTCTTGTCCCCGGGGTGGTCGTTAAGATAATCAACCCGTTAATTGCCGACCCGTCGGCAATGAGAAGAAACATTCTTCAGTAGCTAATTTTTACGCCAGCTCTGTCCTGACTGTTTGTTTTCGTTTAAAATCGCTCATTTTCTTCTCTGCTAGTGATTCATTACTACAGTTTTGTCTATGTTTCTTAAAACCTGTTAAGAGCCTCGAGGGGTGCCATACGAACTGATTTAATTTAATAGTGAATAATAGGTGCTTGATTTTTAACATTCCTGATTGTTGCTGTCAATCTTTAAAAGGATTTGTTACTTGAAAAACTTCAAAATTATACATTTATTAATCAATTTTTATATTTTTCTTCGGGTTAAGCTTTGAATTATTAGAAAAGTGTTCTAGATGCGTGATCTTTCACACTTTATGGTTAATTTTAATTGCCACTCGTTGTTGAAGCTAGCGAAAGATATCGTTCGACAGCTAAATAATTAGAAAATAAATATGTAAAGACATTGAAACATTTAATAATGTTGTAGAATGAAGCTAAAAACTGTGTAAAATTTAATTTTTAATCATTCCAATGGAGAGACAAGTAGGGAAAAACCAATAGGATTTTCTGATCAGTGAAGCCTGCAGAACGATTGGATTGCTATTCGTGGTATGTGAGATGCACCTTCCGCCATACTTGCTAGGGGTTGATGTAAATTAAATTAATTTCCTATTATTCTTGTCATCAGACAATAGGGATGGCTGGAAGCGTTGCATTTTACACCACCACCGAGTGACACATGGAGACATCCAGGAATGCCATGGATGTCATCTTGGTTCCTCCATCAGTTTGACTGAATTTGCCTCTTCTTATTCACCCTTTGTTTAACTGCCCGAGTTCTAAATAATTTCTAAACTTTTTTTCTTTAAAAAAGAGCGTAAAATATAGAATTGCGTACTTTCATATCGTTGGGTAATCTCGGCTTTATGACACTTGTCTCACTTAGAGATGCTTTTCTTGGTCTGCAACTCCTACCTAAAGAATAAAACACTGAAACATTCAATTGTTACACGTCATAAAAGAGGCATAATGCTGATAGAAAACTATATTCTAGACACAAAAACTGATAACGTACCTCCTAACCGATGCAAACGATTTGCTCTGACGCGTAAATAAGTCTGCAAGACAAGTTTTTTCGTTAAATAAAATTCATTTTAAACGAAAATGATGCAGCATTTAGTTGTTAGATGTCTATTTACCTCTCTTCTTGCTTCAACAGTACGTTTTCCTGCTTCAGTCAGCGTGTGCATCCTCAAATGTTCCAGAGAAGCAGTCGTAGGATTGAACTAAAGAAACCATCGTTTAAGTCGATTAAAGTTTCCAAATTATTAAGAAATGTAAAATACAACTTACCAAATCGACCATAGATTCTTTTTGGCACATCCACATTGTATTTCTATCGAAGAAGAGGTTAATTATCAACTGATATTTATAAAGTACAAGCAATCAAACAGCTGATAGAGGAATCGGTTTTTGAAACAAAAGTTGAAATTCCTCATCTTCAATTAAGCATAAAAATTGAAAATAAGAAGAAAATAATTTTCCCGAGAGAGAGAGAGAGAGAGAGAGAAAGAGATTTTTCTATCCGATATGAGAAACTTAACGATATTTCCATTAAATTAAACCAAGCATGAAACGGTAAAATTCCATTATTTGCCAAGCTAAAGACGTGATCACGACAATTACATTCCTATATGCAATTCTAAAAAATAAATGCTTAAAAAAACATTTCTTAATCACAAGATAGCGTTTATATGTAGAAATTTTTTGATTTTTCTTTTTTAAATTTGGAACAATCGAAAATCAACAAAGTCTGGGGTGGCAGGAGGATATATATCGAATGAAAATGTGTTTTAAATTTGTCTTTTTATATAATGGAGTATTGTAGAAATGAGTAAAGAAGAAAAAAAATAAAAAAAAACATCGTTGGAGCAATAAAAATTGTTCCCTATTTCCAGGAGATCACGGATGAAGAGAGAGAGAGAGAACAGAGCCAAGTGAACCTTGCTGTACTGAAGTCGTCTACAGTCTTTATAGGGCCTAACTAAAGTCTATTTACTGTTCGTTGAGTTTTCCAATTCACCTTAATAGCAGCTGTGTCGTTTCTAATATTTTTGGAATTAGAAGAATCATGCATGATGATTTCTGAGAAAATTTTTCAAATCTCCTATTAAATAAATCTGCTTGATTAATGTTTTTAAATAGTTTTATTTTACTTTTTCTTCTTGAATATTTTAAAAGGCCCAATTAGAAAAATTCAAATTTATCAATCGCATATGTATCTAGTGATACGCGAATATAATACTACAATGGGATTTGTAATAATTAAATGATGCCTTAAACGTAAAGGCATTATCATTAACTTGCATCTTATCATGTAGAGTTAGTCTTATAATGTATAAGGCTAACTTCATATGATATAAACTCTTAGCTACTGATAAATGGACATACAAGTAGGTTCTTAAGACTCAAAAGTTACGGGACCATTAACTTAGTATTGATTCTTTCCCGAAAATCTGAATTCTCTCACGTGATAGATGAGTCAGAAAACGTGCTAGATCACCTCAACAATGGCTTCTTCCCTCGACTGAAGTTTCCTCCATAAACATATGATTATGGCAAATAATTTAATATTTCATTAAAATCAGTACAGAAAAAAATTGGTAGATAAAACCGTTACAACTCTGTTGTAAAAACTTACTTAGTAAATTCCTCGAGTTCTTGACGAAAATGAGCTTGCCATTCCAATGGAGCCACCACCACACCGCAGAGTGGACAGGTAGAAGAGTCGGTTTGTCCGGTTGTCCAAGATTTATTTACTAAAAATAAAAGTAAAAAATAGAGTAAAATTAAAGTTAATACAAATCCAACAAATCGGGTAGACTTAGTATAATGAAGTGTCTACGAGCGAGAGAAGAAGAGAAAGAGAAAAGGAAAGCTACGAACATCGGACCAAACAGTTAAAGTTGATAAAAAGTTGCCTCTTTAACTGCTCGCCTTTATAAAAAGCCATAAAGCGTCGTTTAAATAACAGGCCATAGTTGTATAACTGTCTTGTAACATTCTGAAAATGACTGTTATTTCTCGAGGTGTTTGTTATCCGCGATAAATTCCTAACATTCGAGAATACAAATGTTCTTAATAGTACAAAGACATCTGAAGAAGAGGCAAAAGTTATTTCCACTGTGTTTAATTAGAACTGCAGTGAATCTTCAAAAGTTCAAAAATTTTATTAGAGAAGAAAGTAGACAACGGTGCAAGACTGCATAGTTAGGTAATAAAGATGAAAGAATGCTATAATTAAGGATAGAAGAATGTTATAACCACGGAGTGCCAGCTGAAGTGTTTAAATATAATTAGCTATAAATCTCACAATCTTTCCAATTAAAATGTTTGCAATAATCTTCCTTGTTGTTTTATAGCAGTGTCTTAGGGTGGAGTGGAAGAATCCTTGAACTAATTTTAATTCTCCAGACCTCGTTACGATCTGGAAAGGAAGTACATTGGAAGCTTAACGTTCCAACAAGACTACCAGTTACATACATGACACTTCGTGCTCACTTAGTTAAGTTTCCACCTTTCTTCTCTTCACTCTAGCCAGACTAGTTTTAAGCCAACTCATACGTGTTTTAATTCGAGGAGATTAAAGAAATATGATATTTCCGTTCTTTTGAAGAATAACGTCCGAGATTTGTGCACGAAAGCAAAAAAACTCGGTCATAAAACAGACTTACAAGTGTCATATGTAGTTGTTTTGATGAATCTTCGTAAGTTTTAAGCAAGAATAGGGAAACAATCTTCTCTCTTGTCGATGATCCTACCACGGTTAGTAAGACGTTTACGGGTTTTTTAATAACGTGACTATAACCCGTAGCGGATAAAACGTTTAATTAAGTGACAATTATAAAAGGGGAGACTTTAGAAGGCCTTCTTCTAACGTTACTGCAGCCAAGCTTTAGCTTTGTTTAATTAGCGTAATGTTGGTTAAAGGAAGCAAAGTAGCATAGAAAATGGATCTTTAAAATAAATTCTAAAATAAATCTAGGCCTGTTAAGATAACAGAATTGCACCAATATGCAATGATAAAATTCTTTATTGCTTAATTAAATTTTCCCGACCGATACTTTGCCTTTATAATCGGTTTGGACAGGGAAAATCTCCCAAAATTCATATCTTCATACCATAACTCGGACGATATCATCCAGATACCAAATATTCCAGTAAATTGAACCGGAAGGATCGGCTCGTTTATTCGAACATCGGCAGTTAACAATGCAAGTAATAAATGTATTACTTTATATTATAAAGTGTAGTGATTTAACGTAGATTAAAGGTGAAGAGTCGAGTCCGTTTATCCAACTATTTATCGAACATAAAGTGCAGGAAATATCAGCCATTTAGTTGAAAATGGCCTATCGGAATCTATTGTACTTGTAAATGATAATGGGTCTGTTTAGAACTGCAAATGTTCTCTCGTTTCTATCCTAATGTGTCGGAGCTAACGCAATATTTCTCGATATGGCTCTACCTAGTATCTGCGGCTAACTGATATACACTAGTGGGTACCACTTGGCAGGCCAAAATGTAACCACTGTCCAACATTTAGAAATGGTGGGCGTAAATCTACTGTTATTCCATCTTACTGCTCTTAAAGCGGACGAGTAAGGAACGAAATGTTCGACAATGAAACTTTCTACGATGATTTTACGCATATCCTGTCGCGGTCGTTATTGCTGATCTGTGCCACCTTTACGATTTGAATAGACTAGAGTAAATTGCAACATACTTTATCTCTTAAAGGGGTTCCTCTTCTTTGATATTCGCCAAAAATAAGCTGCTTTTTTTGATAAGTGAGTAAAAATTTAAATTTTTTAAGTTATTGCTATAAAGGTAGAGTTAGCTGAATTTCTGCTATCTTCAGAAATCGTTTGGCCATCTCTAGAAGACGGAGTGTGCACGAACAATACAGAGTTATAATCTAATGTAATACAATACAAAGGCTGCTCGCTAAAGGCAATTTGTCATGTGACATAGTTTCTGTGGAGCGGGTAGGGAGGATCACTTTCCACAGTACACTAGCTGCGACTAATATTCCTTACAATGGAAAGACATATTACATTCTTGATAACTTTCGTCGAAGACCTGTGTCCCTCCCAGCTACAAGCAGTTATTGGAATGTATTTTTCCTTCGTTCAGGTACAGGAGAAGTCGGGTCACCATCTTTTCTATAAACATTTCCTTTATTGTTACATTAGCAGCTTTACCGCACTCGAAAACAATCGTATTCTTTCGTAACTCTCTCTCGCTCTCGATTGTGACTGTCGAATGGCTTTTAAATTAATATCAGAGAGGGCAGCGTGATGTCATTACGTTATCCTGTCATTCGTGTCGTTATGATGGCAACAGAATGCTAACTAGCATGTGTTTGTTCAGTAGGATATTAGCGACGCTTCAATTGAAAAAAAGAGCAGATTTTCGCTTTGAAAAAGCTTAAGCTTGATGTATGAATAGAGTCTTTTGATTCAATGTCATCTGCAACCGTTACTGATATGTTACGTGTGGGTCTTCTACCGATTTCTCCCTTGATTGACAGCGACAAGAGGGGTTGATGTGAAAATCGAACCGTTTTGTGGGGAGAAATTATTGCGTTTAATCAGACGACCCTAAATATTCTTTGATGGGCATTCAGATATAGATAACACTCACAGCCACTTCTCTTTGTCCCATATCCTATGGCCAATTTGCATAGAAATTTAAATTTTTATAGAAAATATCTTAATAAAATTTTAAATATTTGCATTATTTACCTTTAAAATCTATCTCTACACATCCTGAGATTTTTAGAACTATTAATATTGCGTTAATCGCAATACAACTAAAAACAACTGTCAAAACAAGATCTACACATATACTAAGAATTTTTTTGTAGAAAATATATTAATGAAATATAAATTTTTCGCATTATTTTACGTTAAAACTCATTTCTATACACAGTAAGATACATATATACTACATTAATCGCAGTATATTTTAGGATGACCGACAACTCTTGGAATAAGATTAATATATTTATACATAAAAATTTCAGTTTTTAGAGAAAATATATTTCAAAAATATAAGATTTTAGAGTTATTTAGCTTTGAAATTCAGCTCTATACACAGTGAGACCCATTTATATTGTGTTAATCACAACACATATGTAAATGATTAAGAACAAACCCTATATATTTACTATATATAAGAACTTGGGAATTAATTGGTAAAAACTGTTTATCATAAAAGATTTTAATCGATTTATAAAACTTTTTATCAATATTAATTTAATAAACAAATATAAAAAATTACAATTCGTCCATAAAGATTTTTCGTACCCTTTGCGGTGTTAAAACCTATTAATTTGGCGAAAGAATCTTCCAATTTACCTTCAAATAACGGTTTAGATTACGGTATATCATTAAATTTTTGTTTTAAAAAAAAGTTTTATATTCGCATAATCCCAAACAGGGAAAACATTGATCAATCGATTTTTATTCCCTTCTCGGTGATCGATACTCTTTGTAATTAGTCTCTCTGCAGATTAGAGACTTTTTGTATTATTCTAATTTTCGACTACTTAAAACAAACTAATCAAGCTGAAAAATCTAAGGTTTTCTTAAGATTTAAAGAAAAGAAAATAAATCCAAATATGGTCAAAAGAGAGTTATCAATGTACTCTGATAAAACTTTGCGGTTCGTGACTTAAATGATTGATCACGTTGTCACGGTTTTCCTCTTCTTATTACCATCTTTGGCATGTTTCTCTAAACCGTGCAATATTTAAATGCTTGAGGCCCGTTATCGATAAATTTTATTAAAATATTTGAAAAAAAGCCTTTAGGCATAATATTCGCAAATCTCTTATTCAACTTCAATATTTTAATAGTTTCTTTTTTTTTTTTTTTACTTTAAATTTCGAATTAAAGCCTCTAGTAATCTAATTTGCGATCAGTAGTGCTTTCATTTTGTACGCGTGTAAAGGAAGGTATAGAAAATAGAGTAGTGAGGTTCTAGATGTACAAAAATCTTAAAAATTTACACTTTAAACTGTATATAATTCTTATATTTAATTATATATTTATAAGTTTTAAAACCGTAAATAAACCCGAGATTTATTTATTCGTGTGTTAAGATATATGTTGATTTTTTGAAAAATATAACTCACCATTTTCGGTGGTTTGACCAACTTCAGTTATCTTGCCTTCGTTTTGTACTCTGGGGGTGATGTCACAGGGTTTCTGCTCCGTTTGATATACCTCGTTGCTTCCTTCCGCTTCTACTTTCTTGACGTCTGGGACACAGTTATTATTTTGCATTCCCAGCATAGATGCCAAGTTAGCTTGCCTGATGTTTAATCTTTGGACGTCATTTTGATGTTTTTCTTTGTAAGATCTGTGTCTAGCTTGAACGTAGTCGAATGTCACGGGTGTCATAGCCATTTCGGCATTCTTCATCAAGTCTCTCGATGCTAAAACGTTGCGAGGAGTGGTGAGTGCTGCAGAATCCTGTAGACCGTGCTGTGGTAGTACGCAAGGATGTAATGGTAGAAATGGACCGGAGAAAAAGGGATAGGAATTCATTTGATTGTATAGAAGTGGGAGAGGGAAACAAGCCGAACCAGATAGGGAATTGTAGTAAGTCGACGGAGGAAGTTTCCCCTCTCCGGTGTAGTGTCCCGCTTCCATTTTATTAACTAATTATAGTTCGAACGAAAGATCTGAAAATGATAGAAAAAATAAGGCAATTTAATAAAATATCTGTCACAAACATGTTCCGAAGTAACAGAAAAGATTCGCAGCAGTTACTAAACTCAAGGTCGGTTCCAGGTTCAACTTATATACTAGGGAATGACCCCGAATCCCTCGGTGCTAATTTAGGAAATTGAAAAACCCTTTCCCTTTGTTTCGAAAGGTTTAAGTTCTAAAATTGTACAGAGAATATTCTTAAGTTAAAATAGTTTTAAAATTCAGTTTAGTTAAGAATGCAAATTCTCTCACGATACGCTCCCTCTTAGTAATGTTAGTAAAAAAATAAAATGAATAGTTACAAAATAGCTAATAATCAAGATATAAAAAAGAAAGAAAAACGGGATTTTAGATGAGAAATACTAGAAACTTTATAAAGAAAAAAAAAGAATAAACTTACCGGCAACATAAATAATTCAAAGTAGAAATTAAGCTAGCAAATTGCATGGAATAAAGCAAAACAATTTCGACGTGTAAGCAAGTAGCCTACTTATTTAAGAAGCTGCCACTGTCTCTGATGACGTCATTAGTGTGGCTGCACTTCCATTGGAGAAGATCTGGCTGTCCAGGTGGGGTGAATTGCATTCTCCCCGAGATACGGTACGAAGCTAATTTGTCCCTTAGTTGGACGAAATGTTTAGCGGCTTCCTTTAATGTGCATCGAACTAATCCAGCAGCGACTGTTAACTTCAACTCCACAGCAATAACGTCTATTGGATCGCCGAAACAGCCAGAGGCTTGTCTTACTTCATTTTGGATAGCATTTACGTCCTCCTTTACTTTTCGTGTTAAAGACGTCGACAGATATACGTGATTGAAACAGTAGTTTTTTGTATCAGATTCAACTAAGAAACTTTTCCAAACTATCCCGTAAGAGAATTAAACGTTTGTATTAGTAAATATAACTTTTGTAAACACGGAAAAACGGGGTTTGTTATTAAAATCGGTTCGATTCATCAAGTAAGTTAGGTTAGAAGTTGCAGCAAGTTTTCGTTCGCCTTTAGTCGTGTAATGATAATGCGGAAGTGATTTTTAATTTAGAGGTATATAAAGGAGTAAGACGACCTACGCAAAGCTACGAATTACCCAGCTATAAATCATTTACAAGCAAATGAACTTAGTATCACATATATCATTACCTACCTCTTTATCCAATGACTGACCAAGTTCGACTCGATATAACATTAATCGCGTCTCTTGGCTGGAGTCATTACACGACTACTATTAATGTTAACGATTTGCATGACATTAAAACACCACAGTTAACTCCAACATGCTCCTAAAGCACGATTGCTAAAGCGAGTAAGTGAAGACGGGTGCAAGTGGTGATGGCAGCGCCCTTGGCGGACGAAACAGCAACTAGGGCCGTGTCGGTGTCACCCAACACGTGCTCGTCGAGGGTCGCACTGAAAAGTGTAACCGTTAGATGACTGTGATTCCTTCTCTGGCTGCAGTCGTGCTTCACTCGTGCCACAGACAGCGACGACTCGACACAAACCAATAGGAAGTGGCAAAGCAAACTGCGCTTTCCAATAAAAATCCGATTGTTGCATTAGCTAACCCACTAAAGTCGCCCCCTTTTTGGCATCGGAATTGATGTCATTTGTCCTCGACGTCCCGACAACTCTTCACATCATTAACTCTTTTACGAAATTAGCTAGTGACATATTTTTTATTTTCTTCATATTTTCTTTCTCTTTCGCTCACTTTTTAAGTTAAAATTACGATCGTGTGATGAATGGAAATCGCAAAATTTCTCCATCTTCTATATAAATAATCCTCGTGAGAGTTGCTTACAGCGTTTATTCCCAGATCTGCTATTCAAATAATCCACGTGATTAATGCCGTTAAATTATCTGTCCTCCTTTAAACCCTCTTATTATTGGGTCAAGTGAGCTGTTTGGTTTCCTACAAGCTTTACTTTACGCCTCCCTGATGAAGTAAGTAAAGGTTTTATTCGGATAAAATTTCGTGATATCGATACTAGTTAAGATAAAGATATTAATCTGAACAGTTGAACCAAGGTTGAACCTAGAAAAGAATTAACAAAAATTATATCAAGCTAACTATAGTGGTTAAAAATGCCCCATTTTTAACAAAGTAATGTCTTAAAATTAAATTATCTTTAAATATCAATTATTGGCTTATTTATTTATATTTTCGCGGTACAAAAAACTAGAAAAATAACATTAAAAACGATCCACACGTGATGAGTAATTGAGAATCCATACGACTTAAAGCCGTTTGCATCGCTTTAAAAGAGGAGTGGGAAAGTTTAGAGCAGGTTTAGAGATAAAAAAAAAAAGGCGCTAATTGAATGTACCCACGAGATGTGAATGGGCCTAGAAAGGCCCGAGTTAAGTACGCTGTCAGCCAGATTTCTTTACAGCACTTACAGTAAGATGGCCCGAGTTGTCGGGGGATTTGTCAGTGTAAATTGCCTACAAAATACCACATTGATTTTCCAACGGTATCTCCCGAACTCGGCGGGTATATGGCGCCTCCTGCATATTATTGTCCGATATCGAATCAGTATGAATCTCAGTGAGCCAAAGCTAAATAGATTTTGGTGAACGAATCATTCATACTCCTTTCTCTTTCATTTCCAGTCTCGCAGTTCTCTCCCTCCCTCGCTTGTTCCTCTCCCTCTTTTTTTCCAATTGTAGCAGTTTGCTTGCATTTAACATGTTGAGAAATTTGAAATTCTGGTGAAAGGAATAAAAAAAATAAGAATAAAAAACCGCAGCTCGGTGGTGCTTCCTTTTAAAACGGATAAGAGCATCTTATTGGTCTGCAGTTATTGTCGGAATTTCCGGAGGGTGTTGTGTCTCTATGGCGTTTCAAAGTCCCACTTTTCAATAACTTCGGAAGGAACATGCAGTATTCTTTTCTCAGATACTTCGTCTGGGTGCTTTCTAGGTAATTTCAAATGTTTCTACGAAATTGGGATGTGCATCCGAGTTGTTGATATCGATTCTGTAACTGGAAATTTGCTTAGATGTATAAGGTTTACAACAAATTCCAAGCAAACTATTTTTATCTGGAAAATATCGCCATTCTCTTGATGTTCCTAGCTTCTAATTAATCTCCGATAAGCTCACCTCTCAAAAATGTTTAATCAATTTGACTTTTTATACGAAATTTTTGACAGATTTAGCTTTAATTTTTCTTTCCATTAAGAGTAGCCTGTTATAAATCAATTCAAAAAGCCTTTGTTAAGTACAACCTCGGGAAGGAGTATGGCGAATTTAGACAAGGGCCATCTACTCCACTAACGCTGTATCTTTAAGCACCAGTAACAAGCCAGACGACTATGTAAGTATAGGAGGGCACAATACGTCCTACTAAAACGAAGCCACAGATCTAGTGAAGGCGTTTTACGAGGCACTAACTGCATCGGGGATAGCAAACTCTATAGGACTCGTCAATAGGGTAGAGTTGTCGGACGGAATATGTAAAAAGCAGGAAATTGTGATCGCCCATCCGCCATTCACATGTCCGATTCACACCTGCGGTGTCAAAAAGCTAAACGCGATACCAAAGAGAAAACGAATTTTCCACCCGAATGGACTGGAAGGAGTAGGGCCTGTCGTGCATTGATAGGAGACCAAGCAGACAGCTGAGTTTTCCTAGTCACGTGGTGCTTGTTTACCACTGTAGATGAACACGCAATCACACTTCTCTGCGGGATTTGCCAAAGATGCGGGCACGTGTCCTCTTCTCTTTTAATTCTTCCTATTAAATTACGATACGTGATGCTCACTTAGCTTTCTCCTAACGCAATGGAAGTATAATTGATTCAATTTTTTTTAAACTATTTAAATGTAAATACAATTAGAAAACTAAACGAATTTTCTAAGTAACTCTAAAAAATTAACTTTAATTAGCAGCAATTAAACTAAAAAAATTAAGCAAAATACTATGGAATAAGTCAATAAATAATAATAACTGAAATTAATTAAAACAGAGTGTTAATAAAACTCAATTTTTAACATATAAATGCGGATTTTATACAGAAATTAAGATCAATTTTACAGTTGATTTTTATAACATTGAAAAAAAAGGGAAAAAAATTCAATTTTTTGTAATCAGAGTTTTGAAGCAGAAAGACTTCTCCCCTCACCAAGGTCGAAATGGCAATAAGGAATAGGTTTCTTTTCTCCACCCTCTTCCACCATTCTGCAATCTCTACGTACTGTATCTATTCTATAGGAGGATGTGGAAAATTTCGAAACCTCCTTACAAAATCAGTGGTTTTTCTCAAACAGGAACGAATTCGATTCATCCGAGAGGCCACCCTCATCTCTTAAAGCTATAATAATTTCCATATAAACTCACGAAAAAAAAGTAATAAAATTTATTTACAGTAAGAATCTTATGGTAAATAGCCCCGAAAACGCTTTCTTTTTTTAAATTTTGGATTACGTTTTCGCACGTAAAAACACACGTACCAATAGGAAAACAACATGGAGTTGGATAAACAAAATTAATTATTCAAGGATTACGTCAAAATAATTATCAAGAATTTTAAGAGTAACCGAAAGTAATTCTCGTAAAATGATCTTATAAGTAAATAAAAGAGCGTAAAATAGAAGTCGGAAAGTGGAGATCAAGTCAGCTTTCATTCTATTTAAGCTAAGTACTAGGCTTTAATTTTACGAACCTATTCGTCCTCATGTCACATAAAATATTTCATTGTTGACTTAACAACTTTAGACACGAAAGGTGACGGGGATACGTAAGAGAAATTATCAAAATCTTCGTTTTCTCTCACCCTAGATGAAAGAATTACAAATTACTTTGGATTCGACTATGTTTATGTCTATGTTTATGTATGTATATATATATTTTTTATATATATACATATATCGTTCTTTCACCTCCCCTGAGAGGTTCCGGTATTTAAAAAATTGCTAGAAAAAATACATTTTGCACACTAAAAGCTTCCATCAAGAAGTTGTTACTGGAAATGTCAAAAGCAATCAGGTCGACTCATTATACATTCGAGTGGTCGCCATCTTGTTAACAACCTTTCGTGCTAAAAAGTCCATCTAAACAGTTAAAAGTAAAGCTGAAAGCTGTATTTACTTGTCTGACATTCGTTATTTTATATAATAAAATGTCGTATAATACTTTTATAGCATTGGCTAGTCTCTTCGGTATTTCGAAGGTAGGTTGTAGATAAAATTTGGCCTAAAGGCCTGAGTGTTTAACGTTATCTATCGTTATCTAAAGTAAAGAAAACCTTAAAAAAGTATCACTTTAATTTCAATTTTAAATGATTTAATTGAAGAAAAATATAAAGATGTGATTAATCGGAAGTTAGAAAATGTGGTATTTTCTTTACTAATTTATGTGCTCTTCTTTATAAAATGATAGGGATGTTGTTTGTCAATATGAAAAGGCAGAAAACATTCTACTTGTAACCGAAAATTATGCTTTTTAATGCAATTTTTAGCTTAATAAATAGTAAATTTTAACAAATGTCTCATAGAAAATACGAGATTTGTTTACTAATTTCTGTGCTCTTGGTGTAAAACGATACGGGTGTTTGTCAACCTAAAAAGGCACGAAATGTGTTATTTTAGACAAAAACAATATTTTCGCGACAATATTCAGCTTTATAAATTGCAATCTTTAAAATATTCCTAAGTGTAACTCTTGCGTGTAAGACTTATTAATAGAAAATTAATACATATTTAGTATTAAAATTAACACCGTCATCTCTTCACATATTTCCCATCTTTTAATGCTTAAATTAAATAAGATTTTTAAAAAGAAATTGTTTAAAACTGACATTTAAACATTATTTAATTTAATTATTTAAAAAAATTACGATTAATTTAATTTACATTTTTCTTAAATAAGAAAAAAAAACACACTCGAACGATACGATAGTTTTGTTTTTTTAGAGTGGTTTTCATCGAATTTAACGGAAGAGAAATGGATGTAGAAGTCCAGTACCCATCGACAGGTATAGAGGGTCGTGACAAACATTTACCAGATCCCTGGTTACAGTTCTTCTCCCACTCGGACCATCTGTTCGTCCACTTTGTCACTAAGACGACCTATGATTGTCATCCATATGAGACGTGATTTGCAAACACTAATCTCGGGTCATTTTCTGTAGAAAAGGGTTTTTTACGCTCGTTTCTAACAATAAATATCACACTTTACCATATGTTCCTACTTTGTTTAGCCATTAATAATCTAGAATGCAAATTAATGATGAGTTAACTTATCTGTAATGCTTCATGCAACAGCTTCGAAGTATCAAATTTTGTGGCATGATTAAGGTTATTTTTCACTATAAAGATTGATATTAACATATATAAGAGATAATATAAAAATATTTTATACATAAACGTTTAAAATATTTTT